CAGCTCGCCGCGGCTGCACGGTCCCGGCGGGGCGGGAGACCCGCGGGGACTTTCTGCCTCTCGCTCCGGAAGGCCGAGGGGCGCGACCCGCTTCCTCCCCGACCCGACGAGTGGCTGCCGGGATGGTGCTGGCCTCTGGTGGCCGCTCGGGGGGTTGCAGGGGCGGAGGCGGCCGGGTGCCACCTCCTTGCTCTGCAGGCACTTAGCGGCTTTTTTTCCTGCTGTCTGGAGGGGAGAGACGGATACATTTCACCGAGCTGAGCGGGGCCGGCTGGGCTCGTGGGCCCTGCCAGGGGTCCCTGCCCCGAGACGCCGCTCTCCTTTCTGGGGAGGCTTGTACATAGTGTAGGTCGGCGTGCGCCAGCCTCCTGACCGCCGAGGCTCACGTGCCACCTTCCCTTTTGCAGACTTTATTTTCATAGGTTGAGAAGTTTTGTACAGAGAATTAAAAATGAAATTATTTATAATCTGGATTTTGTTCCTTTGGGAGTGTGTGCTTCCGCTGACGGACGTGCTGACTAGAAAGAGTCCTGGGCCGTCCCCCTTCCCCAGCACCCGGGCAAATGCTTCCCACCCCCTACCCGCCAGAAAAGACAAAATTTACCCCCTTCCGCTGTAATGGGGGCGGGGGGGGGAAAGAGTGGTGTTGGGAGGGGTGTTAGCTGTATGATCTCCAGCCAAACTGTCCCATTGATCTCTGGGCCACATGTTTGGGTTCTTGTCACCTCCCAGCTCTGTCCCCACGAGGCCCCAGGGTGGCATGGGAGGATGGGCCCCGCGTCCCCGAGGCTCTGTGCCGACAGGAGCCCCGATTTGGGCCGGTCTCCAGGTCATCCCACACAGCCGGGAGGCCTCGTATCTGGCATGACCTGAGGCCACAGGGGGGGAAGGCGATCTGGCAGCAGGAGCTTCCTGTCCCCTCGTGAAGGACGGAACCCCAGGACCCCCGACTCCACTGGGCCTTCCTGGGCCCCTCCTCCCTCTAGTCCCCTTCCCCACCCGAAGCCTGGCCCCGTCTCCAGCGGAGCCTGGTCGGAATCCACGGGCTGCAGATTTTCCAAAACAATCGTTGTATCTTTATTGACTTTTTTTTTTCTGAATGCAATGACTGTTTTTTACTCTTAAGGAAAATAAACATCTTTTAGAAACAGCTCGATACACACAATCTTCAGTGTGAAGCAATATACTAATAAGAACACTAGTCGTCTTAACATTTACAGTCTTCATATATATTATATATATGTATATGTATACATATATATACACTATATAACGAGGCCAGATATAATACACACGTTTACCATTTTACAGTCATATGTACAGGAAGTTGCTAGGGCGGCCCCGGGCGGGGGGCTGCGTCAGGCCTATCGAAGCGTGGACAGAGCGAGGACGCGGACGGACAGGCGGACGGACAGGCGGGGACTGGCCCCGGGCCGGGCGCGGCT